GTTTTCGAGATATCCCCAATTTATTTTGTGTGTGTGTGTGTTGTATGCAGTGGCCGCGTGTGTGTGTCGATCAAGAGAGAGAGAGAGAATTTATTTGTGGCAGTGGCCTGTTGTCGATGGTGGCCCCGGTGGGTGCAAACAACGACAAAAAGACTCAAGGTGGACTGTTTTACTCTTTTTGTTTTTGGCTGGGCGTGAGTGTGAGTGTGTGTGTGAGAGAGAGAGAGAGATATGGTAAGTGCTGCCTGTTGGAGCTACTTGTGGGCTAAAAGTTTTATTTTTTTGATAGGTTTGGATGGATTGTAATGAATCAAGTATTTGATAAATAGATTTGGGTAGATAGTGGTAGGTTCAAATTTTTTTTATTTTAAATGGGCTTAATTTTTTAATTTTTTTGGTTAGATAATGTGAACTTAATATTTTTATCTTTGATTTTGAGTGAGATCAAATAATATATATACCTACGTACTAAAAAAAAAAATTTTTTTGGAGGAGGGGGATTTGCCCACCCTGGACTTTGCCTCCCTCCGCCTGTGTTTAGGAGGTTATAGGTGGGGTTTGATTGGATTTTGATGGGTGGTATTTCAGGTTTCAGACTGACAATCCGAAAGGAACTACAGATTTTTGTTCAGTTGTTGGATATGCTGATTGGACTTGTAGATACTAGAGGTCTTATGTTCAATCTCTGAAAATGGGAAAATCAATGTCATGCCCATCGATTCTCAAAATGATTTGGTTTGAGTTTGTGAAAATTTTGATTTGCAAACAAAGTTAATAAGATTTGGTAGGAATTTAAGGACAAATTAGATTTGATTTGATTTTGGAAATAAATATTATTCAATTAATAAAGTGATTAGATTTGGTATGAGTTTGAGACAAAATTAACTTTATTAATGAAATAATAAGATTTTGTTTCCATTTGAGATCAATTATGTCAATTAACTAAAGGTTAACAAGTACAAAATCTTTTGGGTTTTGGGCATCAGTTATTTTCTTGTAGTTGTTAGAAAAAGATAACGATGGTCACTGATAAGGGATGTTAGTGTTATTTTTCAAAGAAGAAGGGGTGTAATTGTTATTTAACTAAACCTCAAGAGAAATAAATATACTGAAACACTAGCCGATAATTTGCAAGTTCACATATAAATTATGTTCTGTATATGCACGCTTGATTGCTAACGGTACAAATCTAATGGCCTGTTTTGATAGATTTTTGGGGAGCGTTTGAATTGATTTCCCTAAACTCTTTCAAACTCAAATCCTTTTTTAAAAAGATGAGATTCAATATTAAATTTAATTCATACTCATGTTTAGTATTCAATCATTTACATGTAGAATTCACGAATATATCGTAATTATTGTTTCTACATGTATATATCGTAATTATTGTATAAGATTTTGTTTTCATACTCATGTTTACGAGATTCAACATTGAATTCTACATGTCAATTAACTAAAGGTTATACATGTAGAATTTACGAATATATCGTAATTATTAACAATCATTTACTTTGTAAATGATTATTTTATCCTTTCAATTCAATTTATATCTATGTTAAATGGTACAATTATCTTTTTATATTCTTAACTCTTTAATCTATCTTCTCAAACCCCATGCTTAGATATCCAGATAACATGCCTTGGTTCTCCAATTCAAAGGCGTTCTGGTGTAACGACAAGAATATGTTGTAGGATTTAGATATTTTCTAATATTTGTTATTTTTTTTTAATGATAGAGGGGCCTCTAAACTGGAGTCTTTGGATTCATTTTGAAGTGTTCGGTTGCTTGTGCAAAATCTATTAAAAATGTATTATGACGTAACAATAGATCCATTGAGGTGACTTAAAATAATTATTTACAACAAGAAAAAAAGGTTTTTACGACGGTAAAATATTATCATAAAAAGTCGCATTATCTTGCTATGATATGTGTAGTCTCAAAAAAATTTTATGGAAACAACGGTCTGTCTTAAATAATATTTACGATACCAAAACTTTGTTATAAATAAGTTGTCAAAAAAATATCCGACACTTTTAACTTTTATCAAGACGGCAAAAGTGCTGCCTCAAATACCACATTTTCTATCATAAAAAATATAAGATTTTGTTGTAGCGGTTAATATACTATCGCAAAAGGTATGAATTTTTTTTTCCGTTAAATGAAATATATTTACAATGATAGCGATGTTGCCACAAAAAAAAAATTCAAGTAGTATATTTCGTGATATTCTTCATAGGAGTCAAATATATGTGTGAATGTGTTGTTTCTATGAGAATTTGTAAAGGTTATATTCTCTAAAGCGCTCGTGAAAATCATGAATTATTCACGATAAAAATGAACACAATCATGAGAACTAATGGTGTTAGGAAAGAGACTATGTGAAGTCTATTTGATTTAATTTATTAAAACAATTGAATAGTTTAAGACATCATGCTCACTATTTAACTGATAATTTCAATGGATTTTCACTAGAAAATGTTCAAGGTCACAGACTACCTATCTTGATGTATAATTTTTTCAAAATGTACTCTATAACGTGTTAGCATTATTATTTGCATACATATAGCCAGTTTTTCATTCACGTGGGTGATCTTTGTACTAAAAAGATATACAAAACTAATTTTTTGCGGACTTTAAGTTTAAATTAAAATGGAACTCGCTTATCATTTTGAGTAAATTTTTATATGTTTGTGTTTTATTTCGTGTGAAAAATAACATAGTATATTCACTTACTCAAATCGAGTAAAAGACAAATTAGAAAATAAGTTCCTAAATGACTCTTTTGAAATGCAAAAATAGAAGTTGGGATAATATGAGATTTTACATCAATCATATATTAATTGGGCAAGGAAGATTTGACGAGCGTATATGTTCGAAGTTTACTATATGGGTTAGTCCGCAAAGGGGGCTCCACTTTTATGGAAGGGAGAGAATTTAGATGGACTTGAGTTTGACCGCACAGACACACGCTGCCGTCAACGCCCTGATATGGCAATGTAAGGCNGGAAGGGAGAGAATTTAGATGGACTTGAGTTTGACCGCACAGACACACGCTGCCGTCAACGCCCTGATATGGCAATGCAAGGTCCGAATTCTAGGATAGGTGTTGTTCATATACGACCTTATCTTTTTTGGAGACAATTTTTTTGGCTAAATGGGTCATTAATTGTTAAACCCAAGTTTGGAATTTAAAATTTGCAGTGGTTCAAATTTGAATTTATCTCTGGTCTATATTTTTTCTATCCATTCATAGACAAATATGAATGGTGTCTTTTGGGTTACGTGGTGTCTTCTAAGTTGCATCTAATTAATAGTGGTTATTTTGAACAATCACCTCGACATCTATAATATATCCAAATTCATTCTGCATTACTTACTTCAAACTTACAAATAAGCAAATAGACTTCACAAAAATTCATAACCAACCTGTCACCTAAGTAAATGACTCTTCACTCTTCTTCCCTGTAAACAGAAGTGAGATTTATCTTACACACTTGAAATTTTATTATTAATTAGTGATATCATGTTATTAATAATGACATGGTATCACCGTTACATTTAATATTTACTTTTTGTTAGGAATCCGACCGATCCATAACATTTATTTTAACTTGCAACACAATCTTTACTTTCACAAAAAAAATAAATCCCAATATGTTGCTATTCTACATATCTGCATGGTCCAGACACATAACTAGTGGTTCACTTTCTAAGGAATCTAATAATTTCAAATTTCTTTTCATTTCATTTAATTTTTCTCAACAGTACATTGTTCATCCTCTGTTAACTTGGGCCCCACCTTTTCATTAATCAAATACTTTTAGAATGCCACACACTCGCCTTGCCTAAAAAATATCAAAATACCCATCTCTCTCTCTCTCTCCATTTATTTTTCACCCTAGTCATTCTATTTTTTCTCTTAAAATTGAAAAATGCTTGAGGTCAAACATTATAGTATTCTTTTAAATACTATAATCATGTAAAATTCTACAATACTATTTTATGGGGTCAACTATAGTATTCACAAGAATACTATAATGTAAGATTCATATAAAATAAACAGTACCGTAGAATTGATTATATGATTATATGCTTGAGATCAAGCAAGAAATGATTATAATAGGGGTATGACTTGAACCAACTTCAACTCAATCCAACTCGAGTTTTCAATCACTTCTTGAATTCAAAACTTTGAACTTGAGGCATGCAATTTAGGTTTCTCAATTCAAATTTAATATGAGTTTGACAATCAAAATTCATGTAAAATTGATTTATAGTATCTTGAATCAATCTTACACGTATATATCATAAATATTATATATCTCAATTGAATCGTATGCATTAAACCCGAATAGTATTTTTGTAGATTGTGTTATTAAATCTAGAGGATAAATATGACATAAATGTAATGTTGGAAACTAAAAGTAGAAAAAAAAAATTTGCTGATATTTTAAAATAATATAGATAAATAAATAAATTTTTAAAAATTATAATTTCTTGATCATTACATTAAAAACAGTACCATAAATTTTATCTCTAGTGTTTTCGATAATATTTAAGTTTGTTTTTGACTTGACTCATTTGACATAAAACGCCTACAATTGTTCCAATATCAAAGATATTTATAAGGGTAATGTTATGTTTATTAAATTTTTTTTATTAAATTTTCATTCTAAATGATGCTGTACAATTTTTCACTATTAAATAAATAAATTTCATTAATATTCAACAAGGAAAATAGTGCCACGTCATTTCATACGAAAGATTGATAACAAGGTTTTTGGTAAATATTACATATTTCCATTTATAATGTGCGGGAGTTTTTTTTCAAACTCAGCTCTTCTCGAAACTTATTTTCATAACACAATTATTTTTAAACATAATTCTCAAACTCAGTCTTTTTTTAAAAATGTCATTTGCAATGACGCTTCATATGTTAAAACGCTATTTAAAATAATGATTGGGAGTTGAAAATATTTTATTAAAAACGTCATTTACGATGGCGCGTTTTAAGATGAATAGAATTAAAGAAAGTCAACAGGCATTAAAAGAAAAAGGAGGTATAAAACGTCATTTGCAATATTTAAAACCTTCCTCATTTACTTTGCTGATTTTTTAAAACCCATCTCTCTCACAGTCGATCCCCTCTAGCTCGATTAGAAACCCTCTCTCAGTCAGATCCCCTTTCTCACATCAGATCCCCTCTCTGTCGCTCAGATAGCCATCCAGTCGAAGCCCTCCATCTTCCACCATCCAGTCGAAGCCCTCCATCTTCCACCATCCAGTCGAAGCCCTCCATCTTCTGCCATCCACGAGGAGCATCGATTTTGTATCATTCTCCAACCCGTCGAAGACCAGTCCGACGAGGAAGCCTTATCTGACGAAGAGGAACACTCCAGCAAACAAATTTCTCTGGTGGTGGTCTGTCCATTTCTTCCGGTATTTTCCACCCTCTATGTGCTTTGTCCATTTGCTGGATATGATTTCATTATGGGAATATGATTTCATTTGCTTAAGTTTAGCATGTAGGTGATTGAGTCATCTGAAAGGCACTTGTAACTTGTTTATTTTTTTTATTCTTATTTTGTTTCTCCTCCTTTTATTCTCGGGTATAGTGAATTGTAGGTTCAAATCTGATGGCATCCACTTTGTGTGACTCTTGAGAACGATTATGTCTGTACCCAATCTATAATTGCAATGCCTTAGGTTAACGGGGACCAAATTGGGTAATTTGCTGATTTTGTTTTCCTTTCTTCCCTTTTACTGCAGCCTTCCAAATGAAAAAAAACATAGAATTGGAGAATTAATATTTGGGAGACTTAGATCAAGCTATTATTAAGTTTGCAGTATGTGCTGGAAACCAGGAGTAGTAAGGTTTCGATATTTGCTCCACTCCAATTTCACTTGAGGAGAAAG